TTCAACATTTCTGTGTATTTAAAGAAAGATGTACATGTACATGTGTGTGCACATTATGCATTTTCTGTGTGTGTATGTGTGTGTGTGTGAGAGAGAGAGAGAGAGAGAGAGAGAGAGAGAGAGAGATTTCAATTGATTGCCCCATCTTGACAAGACTGAGAAATGAACTTGCAGCCATAATCTATGTGGGTGACATTTCTCAAATAATACAAATTTATAAATTGAATTTCTTTCTAGCCCATAGGAAGGGGGACTCAAAGTTAGTATTTAGCAATGTTATAGAAAATTCTATGTGCTATTCTTTGCACACCTGATTTTTAAAAATATTTTATTTATTATTTTTATTTTATGTGTATGCGTGTATTGCCTGCATGTAGGTAAGTGCACCTGTGTCATGCAGTGCCTGCAGAGGACAGAAGAGGTTGTTGGATCCCCTGAAACTGACAGTTGTTAGCTGCCAACTAGCAACTAGAGGGTGCTTGGATTCGAACCCAGGTCTTCTGCAAGGTCAGTGTTCTTAACCGCTGAACCATCTCTCCAGCCCCATACCTGATTTTTTAAAAAATATTTATCTTCAATGCCTACTAAATGTGTTAATCAAAATAACTGTCATTCCCACAGTCCAAACTAAACATCAGGCCTACACACACTATGTGGCTTCCACTCCCTTTCCCAAGCCACAGGTGGGCTTCTCACCCATTCCATAGGCTGTCCAGCAACCCCAAGTATGACCCAATGCAAAAAGATGAGCTGGGCAAACTAGAGCCTCTCATGAATTCGAATCTGGAAATAAAAGAATCAGGAAACTGGAGCCAGACGTGGTGGCGCATGTCTTTAATCCCATCACTTGTTTGGCAGAGGCAGATGGATCTCTGTGAGTTTGAGGCCAGCTTGGTCCACATAGCGAGATCCAGGCCAGCTGGGACTAAAGGGGGACCTGTCTCAAAAAGACCAAAAAGTTTTTTAAAAAATCAGGAAACTGACAATAGCTTGAAGATGCCATGCAATACAGGGGCATGGAAGATCACCGTGTAGACAGTCACAAAGAAACAGGATCTGACAGGTGAATTTTAAATAAAAAGCAGAAAAGATGGAGAGATGAAGGTAGAGTTAGTTTATTGGTAGAGAGAAGGACTGGAGAGATGACTCAGGAGTTAAGAGTATTTACTGTTACATCAGAGGATCAGAGTTCAAATTCCAGCACCTACATCTGGTGGCTTACAAAGGCCTGTAGCTCCAACTCCAAAGGATCTGACACCCTCTTCTGGCCTCTGTGGGTACCCCACACACACATGCACATACACATACTCATGTGCATAAACACAAATGTGGAAAGTGGCTGTGTTACATTAAACACCCATCCTTTCATTCTTCCTGGATTCCTTCATTATTTTGAGACAGGATCTCCCTATTAACCGCAGCTTGCCTAGAACTCACTATGTAGACCAGTCTGGCCTTGATCTCACAGAGTGCTGGGATTAAAACCATGTGCCACCATGCCCAGCTCTTTGTGGATTCTCATGCCTAACATGATACCTTGTTGTAGTAAGGGCTCAGCAAGTGAGATGAAGGAATGAGAATTTATCCTGACAAGGTTAAGGTGGCCTGCTGGAATTTCTGCTCTTTAATGGACTTACCACCCCAGCATACTGCAGAATGTTCTCTTGCAGTGGTGGAGTAGAATTTGCTACACATTTAATGGCATTCTTGATCTTCATCCTCCCAAACTTATTTAATCTGTGCTTTGGCCCTTAAGATACACTATGGCCCTAGTTCTTCCTAGCGCTTGTGACCACTACCTTGTCTTGGCTAGTTTCTCTTCCTCTTCTTAATCTAAGTATCTTCCAGTTTTCTTCTAGCTCTGTACTCTCTTCTTACCAAACGAATGATCCTCTCATGATTTCATATACAGCCTCTACATAGGCAAATCCCAAATCTGAGCCTATGACTGTGTCCTTGAGAACCAAAATTAAACTGAGCATGCTGGCTGGTCTGTGGTAATCCTGGTACTTGGGATACTGAGCCAGGAATGTTGCCTTGAGTTCCAGGCCAGCCTGGGCTACAGAAACCCTGTATCAAAGCAAAACAACACACACACACACACACACACACACACACAGACACACACACACACATGGGGGGGAGAGAACAAGATGAAAGTCAACATTACTGAAACAGAAATCATATTTTTTCCCAAATAAAGCATTTTTCTCTCTCCCTCTCCTTTTCCCCCACCCCTAACCAGAGTCTCAGGGCTTAAGTGATACTCAACCTCAACCTCAGCCTCCTTAATTCCTTGGAACTGCTGTATCACCCTCAGTCCATTCTAGTTCCTTCTCTGGACTTCCCTGTTCCTGTTCATTGTACTACCAGTGTCCCAGTTTTGAAATCTGAGTTATCTTTAAATGTTCTCTTTTCTCTCCCCTGCCATCTATGCAGTTACAAGTCTCGCTAATGATGATGATTACCAACATTTTTCTGCTTCCAAAATCTTATGTCACTCTAGTAGCCTACTAAAATCAATTTCAAACTTGATGTAGGGGATCACAGATTAGAGGCCAGTCTGGACTATATAATAAGACCCCATCTCAAAAAAATTCCTTTCTTTAAGGGATCCAGAATTCAGAATTCTCTACATATTGAAATTTCATAATCTGGTCACATTTCTCATGGTTCTATTAGAAACTGAAAATTTTAAATTTACAATCATTTACATATTAATAATTATTTAATTTAATTAACCAAAAATTTCAAGAAGAAGCTGGGTGTGGTGGTGCATGCTTTTAGTCCCAGCACTCGGGAGGCAGAGGTAGGCAGATCTCTGTGAGTTCAAGGCCACTCTGGTCTGCATAGTGAGTTCAAGTCAGCTGGGACTACAGGGAGACCCTGTCTCAAAAAAACAAAAAAAAAAATTTCAAGAAGAGTACTTTGTATTTTTTTTTTTTTTTATGTCGGAGTAAGTGGACAATTCTGTGAAAACAAAGAGGAAAAATATTCTGGATTTCCTTCATTCTCTCAACAGTGTGGTGGCACAAGCCTTTAACCCCAGCCTATGAGTTTGAGGCTAACCTGGTCTACCTAGTGAGTTCCAGGCCAGCCAGTGATACATAGTGAGACCCTGTCTCAGAAACAAGCAAACAAAACAAAACAAAAGCATTTTGCATAGTGGAGTGCACCTTTGTATTCTCAGCACTTGGGAGATGGAGGAGGAGGAAGACTAAAGAGGAGGGAGGTGAAGGAAGGAGAGGAGGAGGAACAATAAGAGAATTGACCTTAAGAGCAGAGAACGACAACTCACCTAGAGACAAGCCATATGTTATAGCTGCTCAACCTATAGGAAAAAGCACACTCTTGCTTACTGAGTTCTGCCTTTTTCACAGGTGTAGGGAAGAAAGGTTCTGAACATGATTTTTCAGGGCTTCTTGGCATTGAGGTGATCTTAAGTCATTTGTTTCTCTATTTTCCAGCCTCTACATGAACATTGAAAATAATGGGAAGCTTACTATCATACCGTTTTTTACTATTATGGAAAAGAATCTCTTTTTCCTGACTTTGATGGTGCATGCCTTTAGTCCCAGCACTTGGGAAACAGAGTCAGGCAGATCTTTGTGAGATCGAGGACAGCCTTGTCCTATATCAAGTTCCAGGCCAGCTGAGGCTACAAAGGAGACCTTGTCTTTAAAAAAATGTAGATAAAGGCAATAGTGTTTGTTATTTCTTACAGAAACTATAAACAAAATATTTATAACCCAGTTTTCTCTGATAGCTAAAGACAGAGAAGAATATGAACAAACCTAAAGTTCCTATAGTAAAGCAAATTAGAACCTCGTCATACTAATTAATGCACAAATGATGAAATTGAACTTCAGTCTGGTTGTGGTGGCACAGGCCTATAATCCCAGCATTCAGGAGGTAGAAGCAGGAAGATCTTGAGTTCCAGGCCAGCCTGGGCTACATAGGGATATCTGTCTCAAAAAAATAACCTCCTTGGGCTGGAGAGGTGGCTTTGTGGTTAAAAGCACTGGCTGCTCTTGCAGAAGACCCAGGTTTGAATCCCAGCACCCACATGGAGGCTACCAACTGTCTATAACTCCAGTTCCAGGGGATCTGACAGCCTCTTCTAACCTCCATGGGCATTGCACGACACAGGTGTACTTACATGCAGGCAATACACTCATACACATAAAATTAAAAATAATAAATAAAATATTTTTTAAAAACTTCCCTTAACAAAACAAAACAGAAAATAATAAACTTTATAAGAAGCAAAATCATAAGAAATGAAAATTGGTGGAAATAACAATAACTTAGCATAAGAGTATGTCAAGATTTCTCGATGAGCTTAGTGGGCTTTAAATCTTGTAGTAAATCAACATTTTCTTTTGTCTCTCTGACAATCAAGAAAATACCTACGTTTGAAAGACTATAACTTCTTTACTTTAACTCTAAGGGTGCTTAAAACAAGGAACTCAATTTAAAATGTTTAACTGGACAGGTGAGATGATTCAGCAGGTAAAGGCACATGTTGCCAAGGCTGACAATCTGAGTTTGATTCTTGGTGGAAAGAGAGAATAGACTCCTGCAAGTTGTCCTCTGGCCTACAAATATGTGTGTGCCATAGCAGGCACAGACACACACACACGCACACACACACACACACACACACACACACACACAAATAAATAAATAATAAATGTAATAAAAGTGTTTAACTGCATCTGTTATAAAATATTGACTGTGATATCATGGAAAAATTAAGTTATAATTAATCATTTTCACCTAACACTAATAAAGTTATTATGTTAATAAAGAAGGTTAACTTTTATGTAACATTTATTTTAATTTTTTCAAAAAGTTTTGCTGGATTTCCTTACTTTCTCACCCACCTTTCTGATCTAAATTCTGTTACTCCAAAAGCCTAGAGAGAATATAGAAAGTACAGTCCATACCCAGTTCTCCCTGCCCCTGGAAAATCTGTGGCATTGTTAAGAATAACTCACCTCCATGATGCTTGATCATCAGACTACCAGGGGGCAGAGACAAGCCACTTGGATCAGCTCAGTGGACCCAGGGTGACTGCAGACCAGGAGTCCTGGGCAGGTTAGTTTACTAAGGATGAGCTCAGAGCCCATGAGCAGAGGAGGAAAAGTTCAGGAGCTGGAGAAAAGAGGCAAGGTCACAGCCAGGTCTGGCAGATTCCGTGACAGTTTGTCAGTTGCTTTGATCATATTCACTTAAGAGAAAAAGAAACCCTGATTGGATTGGAATGACCTACCTACCCCTTTTGTTTCATGTTTTTATTGGAGGGGAGGGTTCTTTTAAATTTCAGGTAATAATCTAATTATTTAAATTTTTATTTTTTATTTATGTGTATGTGTGTATGCCATGTGTGTGCAGTTTCTTGCAGAGGCAGAAGAGTATGTCAGATTCCCTGGAGTCAGAGTTACAGAGTTGTGGGCCGCTTGATGTGGGTGCTGGAAACTGAACTCAGGTCCTCTGGAAGAGCAGCAAGTATTCTTAACTGCTGAGCCATCTTTCCAGTCCTGGTTATTTAATTTTAAGGTTCCTAGATCTCCACTTCTGAGGCTGCTCTTTAAAAGAGAAAATAAACGCCATCAGCTATAAGTCTAACACTTGAAAAAATAACCATTTCTCCTCATCAAGGCCCCATCACATCAAGACAGCTGAGAGCCTGTTTCACCTCTCACCTTCCTTTTGTCTGTTCAAACAGCCCTGAGAAAGTAGCAAAGGCCTGCAAAACCCAGACCGCAAGGAAGCGGAATGAGATGCTTATCACATAGCTGCCTTGAGCAGTTTTAGCTCAGAGATTTCAGACCTACATTATGCTCGTAACTCAATGTATTTTCTTGAGTGCACAGCTCCTGCCTGGCTATCTAGCCTTAACACAACTTTCCCACCAGAGTTCTGGAGTGCCCAAATGTGCTGTGCTTCTGTGGCTTTGCACAGGCTGCCCCTCTGCTAGGGGCTTGTTCTCTCTCCCAAGAAAGTTACTGAGACTTTAGAACTAGCTCTTCTGCTTCAGCAGCACCTTGCAGATGTTTCTATCATAGCTTTGATAGCTGCATTATTCTTTAATTAAGCCTGTTTGTTTTCATATCTCTCAAACTGAGCTCAGGCCCACCACACTATCAAAATTTAATGAGTGCTGGCTAAGTGAGTGAGCAGTACCTGGTGACAGCCTATGCACTCTCTTTTCTGTTTGCTTATTTGTTTTTCTTACATTTAATTTTGGCAGTTTGAGGATTGAACAACTGCTGCTTCTGTGGAAAGGGAAGAGTGGTTTTCTCAGTAAAGGCACTGTGCCCAGCAGGGAACCTAAGGGATATAGGTGACTAGCTGCCTTTGCCTGTCACACCATGCCAGCAGCTCCTCCGGTCTCCCTATAATCAGTGATACTGGTAGAGCTACACCTGGGGCCACACATCATCATTATGCAGAAGGGAATGTAAGCCATAGGAGCTTCCTCTCTGCTGAGAGGAGGAAAGGTCTCCTCTCAGTGCTACCTGATTAATGTTTTCCACACCATGAGGGCTGTGTCAGAAGTATCTGTAAGTAGTCCTGGACAATGCAACAAAAAAGTTTTCTCAACTGCAGAATGCTCAGTTGAGAAATGATATTTGTACATCACACCCTTCCCCTAGCTCAGGGACCATTGTGGAAGAAGGGGAGGAAAGACCCAAAGGTGGCCAATGACTACAACAAAATAGTTTTCTGGATACAATAGGGCAGTTGCATATATGAACTCAGTGGTGGTGAGAGCATGCACAAGACCTGCCCAAGCTCAAGTCAGACAAAGATCTCAGCATGTACAGAAGAGGTAGGCATGATGTCCCACCCTAGCTGAGGAGCTGTTGACAATGATAGCTGCTGGTGGGTCAACCACGATCTAATGGATGGCCACACGCCCAGGATTAAGTATATGGGTAGCACAAATTGAACTTGATGCGTTTACAAAAATGAGGACACAAAATTGAGTGGGATGGAAAGAGGAGTGGATCTGAGAGAAGTTGGGGAGTGGAGGTGAAGAGGATGAAAATAGATTATGAAATTCAAAAAAATTAATAAAATATTTTAAAGATTTTCTCAATTCAGAATTTGATCTGCATACCATGAAACCAGACTATGAAATTAAAGACGTAGGGAAAAGAACACACAAGGCTGAATTTATATATATATATATATATATATATCTTTTTTTTGAAACAGGGTCTCCCTGTAGCTCCAGCTGGCCTGGAACTCACTATGTAGACCAGGCTGGCCTGGAACTCACAGAGATCCACCTGCCTCTGCCTCCCAAGTGCTGGGACAACAGGAGTGCATCACCACACCTGGCCAAGGCTGACTTTTGAAATACTATGCACTGCTGACATAAAATGCTGTACACTGCTGGGCAAGGTAGTATACACTGTAAGACAAGCACTTGAGAGACAGGCAAGAAAATTACAAGTTCATGTCCAGTCTCCTATATAGTGAGACCTTATTTCAAAAAGTCTTCAAAAAAAACTAAACCCACAAAGCTATGTACTAATAAATATCCAAACCTATTAGCAGTATGGCTCCTAACTCTGAACAGTTGTTTAGAATTACCCAGTGGGAAGCGGAGCATGGTGGCTCACACATAACCCAAGCACTTGGAAGATGGATGCAGGAGTATCACAGTGAGTTGAAGACCAGCCTGGCCTAAGACCTGTTTTAAAAAAAAAAGAATCTGCTGGGCATTGTGGCACACATCTTTAATCATTTGGGAGGCAAAGGCAGGTGGATCTCTTTAAATTTGATGATAGCCTGGTCTACATAGTGAGTTCCAGGCTAGCCAGGGCTACATAGTGAAATTCTCTCTTAAAAAGTCTGGGGAGATGGCTCAATGGGGAAAGTGTTTGCCATGAAAGCATAAGGGTTTGAGTTTGAATCCCCGGAACCCACAAGAAGCCAGGTACAGTAGCTCATTTGTAACCCCAGTGCTTCTACCGGAGATGGAAAATGGAGAGAAGAAAGCCCCCAGAAGCCTATGGGCCAGCCAGCCTCCAAAAAAAGAAAGAAAGAAAAGGAGAGAGAGAGAGAGAGAGAGAGAGAGAGAGAGAAACTGGTTCAAACAAGGTGGAAAGTATGGATCAATACCCAAGGTTGTCTTCTGACCTGTACGTGTGTGTGTGTGTGTGTGTGTGTGTGTGTGTGTGTGTGTGTGTGTGTCGGTCATACACACACACCATATACACATTCACAAAAATTTAAAAATCCACTCCCAAACCCCACTACCCAGTGGGACCCACCCCTGCCCATGAGCTTCAGAGTCAAACCCAGCCAGAGTACTGGAGCAGTCCAGAACTGCAGGGCACCACCAGGGTAGGGCTTGCAGGCCAAGACCTGCTCCTCTCTGAGCTGTTCCTTGGTGCTCAGTATCCATCAGGCTGCCGGGAAAGCTGGAAGAAGCCAGCAGGTCAGAAGCACCGGAAGAGTGGATGTGGCTGCTCTGCTTTCAGAGGGACACTACTGGCTTAGAGATGTCAGGAAGCTAATGTCATTGAAACTGTACTCTGTTAACACTCCTTAACTGTCCCACTGTGCACATTTTAATAGGATTTAATTGATACCATTAAGGAAACAACCTGAAAGCTTATCAGTGGTAGTTTTAGTTTTTTTTCTGGCAGGTGCACTTAACATTTGCATGAAGAATGAATTCAGTGAAGGCCAGGGATTACAAAAAAATCCAGTCTTTCCTTAAGGTTGGGTCTGACTCCTTTACTTTATCTTTCATGACCACATTCTTGAACTAGAGAGAACCCAGTCATGTGATAGCTCAAGACACTCAATTTTCATTCTCTGCTGTGTAACCTCAGTGAACATCAGGAAAAGATGAATGTAATTCACCAGAGTATTCGCTGTGTGGCCAAAGCTAGATGGGGCACTGAGTAGGAAGTATGATTGTCTACTTTCAGTCTGGCCAAATGAGCTTCCACTTTCCCCCAAAAGTACCCAAAGCTAAATGTTGACTGCCACAGCTGTTCCTGGAACACTCTGGGGATACAGTTGTTGGCACTGCAGGCCAAAATCATCTCCCAAAACTCAAAAACTATTGCAACCATGCCCAAACCAAGCCAAGGGCAGTATTGCACCAGTGAGAACCAAATTCCTCAGAAAAATGTTGATCTTTCTAATAAACTTCATAGAATTGCTCTATTTTGACAGGAATATCCACACCATTATCTAATTCTACCTCCTCTACCACCCCAAACTTTCCAACTATCTTTAGCCTTTGTGGAAATCATGCTGAATCCTTAATCTTCCTCTAGAGGTCCTCCTCAGAGCCTGTTGTGGCTCCACAGCATCTATAGAATAAGATCTATGCTCTATCCCACATACACTACTCATAATTTGTCCATAATCTACTTTTGTATCTTTAATTCTCACCTTTTCATACAGCCATACACAGCAGTCAGGGCAAATTGCTCACATTAACGTACTTTGTGGCTCCCTTTGACTTTTTAAAAATCCATTTTATTTATATGTTGGTGGGAGAGGTGGAGGTCAGAGGACAAACCTGCAGAAGTTGGTTCTCTCCTTCATGTGGGTTACAAGAATCAAACTTGGGTCATCAGGCTTGAGGCAAAGACCTTTACCTACTGAGCCACATCACCAGCCCCTCCCTTCAACTTTCGTTCTTCTATCCTCTTGAGTTCCTAGTCTTGCCCAAGTGTTTACTTTGATTGCAAGTGGTGTGTGTCATTCCTCAGTACTATTCCTAGAACATAGCTATTTGGTCTTTCTTTTTTTCTTATATTTACTTATTTGTGGAAGGGAGAGCTGTGTGCCACATTGTGCATGTGAAGGTGGGAGGACAAGCTGGAGGAGTCAGTTCTCTTCACCATGTGGATACAAGGGATCAAACTCAGGTTTTCAGACTTGACAGCAAAATCCTTACCGTTTGAGCCATCTCCCCAGCCCAATAGCTACTGTTTAATAGGGAAAATGTATATTCAAACCTTTTTTGTTTTTGGTCTTTTTGAGACAGGGTCTCCCTGTAGCCCCAGCTGTCCTGGAACTCTCTATGTAGTCTGGGCTGGCCTTGAACTCAGAGATCCGTCTGCCTCTGCCTCCTGAGTGCTGGGACTAAAGGCATGCACCACTATGCCTGGCCCATCAAAACTTTTCGTTATGTATTTAAACAAAGTTTAGAAACCATTACACTTGAAACTGTGTGTATCACTATTCTATGTCCTAGTGGTAGTGAGAGAAGTAAACACCAAGAGGCATTCCCATGAAGAGAAATACAACCTATTTAAACGCCAACAAAATAGTCCAGATAGCATTTTTTTTTTTCAGTTGCTAAAATAGGACTAGCAAGATGGCTCATGGGATTAAGGTGCTTGCTGCCAAGCCTGACAACCTGAGTTTGGTCCCTAGGACCCACATGGTAGAAGGAGAGAACTGACTCTGAAAGTTGTCTCTGACCTCCACAGCCGTGCCCAGGAAGGTGCGCGCGCGCTGTGCAAACACACACACACACACACACACACACACACAAATAAATGTAATTTAAAAATTAAAAATAAAGGGACTGGAGAAATGGCTTAGCAGACTCTTACAGAGGACCCAGGTTCAATACCCAGAACCCACATGATGACTTAACAACCTTCCTAAAGGACCTGACATCTTCTTCTGGCCTCTGTGGGCACTGCATGCAAGTAGTGCACCTACACACATGTAGCCAAAATATACATATTAAATAAATAATAAATAAATAAATAAACAAACAAACATGAGCTGGGAGAAGCCATGTGTGGTGGCACACACTTTTAATCCCAGCACTCAGGAGGCAGAGGCAGGTGTATCTCTGTAAGAAGGAGGCCAGCCTCCGTCTATATAATGAGTTCCAGGCCAGGAGGGGCTACAGGGAGACCCTATCTCAAACCTCCCTCCCCCCATAATAAATAAAAAATAAAGTACTGAAGAGTGGCTCAGCAGTTGAGCATGCTTACTGCTCTATCAAAGGATGGGAATTTGGATCCTAGCAAATCCACATCAGGCAGCTCACAAATGACTATAACTCCAGTTTCAAGGGATCCAATGCCCCCTTATGGCCTCCATAGGCACCTGCATAAACACACACAAACAAATATGATTTTTAAGATGTAAAATATATGAATTGCTAGATCTGGGTTTGAGGCTAGCCTGATCTACACAGTGGTCTAGAGACTGCTGTGAGGAACTCAAGAAGCACTATAGTCTTGAAAAGTAAAGACGGAGATGCACAAGATAGTATGTACCTGTACTCCCAAGATGGGGTTGGGGGCAGGGGAATGTTGCACAGATAGGAGGATCAGTGATTCATGCCCAGCCTTGGCTACATGAAACACTGTCTCAAAAATAAAAACAAACAGACCACACAGGCCTCTCTCCAACCCGAAGGCCTCTCTGAGATAAGTCCATCGTGCCCTCTGTGCCTTGACTCCCCCAGCCTCATTCACCCTCCCAGCTCCCCCACCTGTCTCTCCTCCTAGCCTGGGTACTGTCCCATTCCTTGTCTTGGTGCCCCAGACAAGGGGTTCCTTGGGGAACCACCACTGCTTCCTGATCCTTTGCATCCAGAACAACTCAGTTCCTTCTTGGGTCCCCAGGAGCACTCTAGGCCTGGCCCCGCACTCACCTCCCTCTACTTCCCTGGGCCTGCACGACCGGCCAGAGTCTTTCCTGGACACAGGGGCTGACCTTTCCTCTTCCTGATCCTTTCAATCCAGAACAACCCAGCTCCTCAGTGTAGTCCACAGGAGCCCTTGGGGCTGCTTCCCGCCCCCATCTTCCTTTGTATCTCTGGGTGGCAGGGCCTCCAGCTTCCCTAGACCAGCAACTATCCTGGGCCAGGCTCCCAAGCCAGTCCGACCCCGAAATTCCTGAGGCCAAAATCTTCCTGGAGGGATCCAGACCTTAGGAGAGAGCCTGAGAGCATCTGATCCATATCTGACTTGGGCCTCTGTGGGAACTCCTGAAGACAAAAGCAATCTGGCCACTCCAATATAAAATCAAAAGAGAGAACTGGAAGCTTAGAGGAACCAGCATTCCAGCTCTCCAAAAAGTAAACCACAAAGACACATAAAGTTCAATAAAAGAAGCAGAACTAAACTTGAAGTCCCAAGTATCACACAAGAGACAGAAACTACAAAAGAAATTCACATGCCAAAATCACAGAGAAAAAATAATAACATGAAAAACCAAAGTAACATATCCCCACCAAATACCAATAATCCTCTAGAGGAGTACAATGAGAATCTCCCAGAGATAATGCAGGCCATGGAATTCAAAAGTACAATTAAAAACATGATAAAAAGGATTCAGTGAATTTAAAGAACACACAAAGAAATCAAAGAACTGAAGAAAGATAGAGATAAACTTCCAAATGAATTCAGAAAAGAGAAATATTGAAGATTACTCAGGCTGAAATGAAGAAGGAAGTGAAACACTCAATAAGCCAATTAAAAACAACAGGAGAAAGCCTCACCAATAGGATGAATGAAATGGAAAACAGAGTATCAAGACTGGAAGATAAAGTGGATGAACTAGATCACTCAAGCAAAGATTAGGAAAAATTTAAAAAACAGCAAGAATGGAATATGCAGGGAACTGTGTGACACCATAAAAAGAACAAACTTACGAATCATAGGTATACAGGAAGGAGAAGAATCCCAAGATAATGGCATGGACCAGATCTGCAACAATGGCATGGACCAGATCTTCAACAGAATCGTGGAAGAAAATTTCCCAAATTAAAGAAAGACATGCTATACAAATACAAGAAGCAAAGACTCTCCAGAGCACATCATAGTAAAAACACTAAATGTACAAAACAAAGAGACAATACTGAAAGCTGCAAAAGAGAAACAATGAGTCACATATAAAGGAAAACCCATTAGGATTACAGCTGAGTTTTCAGTGGAAACTATGAAAGCCAGAAGAGCCTGGATCAAAGCATTCCCAGTTTTAAATGACCACAGATGCCAACCCAGATTACTATGCCCAGCCAAAATGTCTATTATAGTCAAAGGGGAAAGAATAATCTTCCATGATATAAATAAGCTGAAGGAATTCATGTCCATAAAACCAGCCCTTCAGAGAGTTCTGGAAGCAATATGAAGAGCTGAAGAAAGGAACGACTATACCGAGTCATTGCAGAAAGAAATTCAATGAAGGTATAACTGTGGAAAAGTACACTATATCAAGAATGTCAACAGAAATAAAAATGACAGAATTCAATACTCATCTTTCACTAATAACTTTAAATATTAATGGACTGAACTCCCCAGTCAAAAGACACAGACTAGATTAATGGATTAAAAAACAAAACCCGACCGCTGCCTCCGCTACTCCAGCCGTCGCCTCCGCTGCCGCCACCGCCACTGTCGCGGCTTGTGATTCCTAAAATGGCTCTGCTGGATCTGGACAAGTATGTGGAGATAGTGCAGCTGTGCAAGTACCTTCCCGAGAACGACCTGAAGCGGCTGTGTGACTATGTCTGTGATCTTCTCTTGGAAGAGTCAAATGTTCAGCCAGTATCAACACCAGTAACAGTGTGTGGGGACATACATGGACAGTTTTATGGTCTTTGTGAATTATTCAGAACTGGAGGTCAGGTTCCTGACACAAACTACATATTTATGGGTGATTTTGTAGACAGAGGTTACTATAGTGTGGAGACCTTCACTTACCTTCTTGCACTAAAGGCTAAATGGCCCGATCATATTACACTTTTAAGAGGAAATCATGAGAGTAGACAGATAACACAGGTGTATGGATTTTATGATGAGTGCCAAACCAAATATGGAAATGCTAATGCCTGGAGATATTGTACCAAAATTTTTGATATGCTCACAGTAGCAGCTTTAATAGATGAGCAGATTTTGTGTGTTCATGGCGGCTTATCTCCTGATATCAAAACACTGGATCAAATTCGAACCATTGAGCGGAATCAGGAAATTCCTCACAAAGGAGCTTTCTGTGACCTGGTGTGGTCAAATCCTGAATGTGGAGAGTGGGCCCATGCGGGAGTGCCCAAGATGGTGCCCCGGGCACCCTGCCAAGCCCCATGATGAGTTAATGGCGCATGAGCAGCAGTGAAGGAAAACGTGGCTGCTGGCACAAGGGCTCGGGGACAGAGTGTCCCGACCAATCCTGTCTAGCGATCTGGCTTGTGTATCCTACGGAATGTGGTGTGATTGGAGGGAGAAGGAGATAAAAGGGGATGGAACCGGGCAATTAAAAAAAAAAGAAAAGAGAAGAAGTTTGAACCTGCCGTTGGTGGTCGTTTTTACTGGGCTCTGCTGGACAGAGCCCGGGGAAGCCCCAGTTGGTGGCCCATTCGGGATCCTCTCATTCTCTCTTTTACTTTCGCTTTTGCTTTCTTTTCACTTTCGCTTTTGCTTTTGCTTTCACTTTAGCTTCTTCCTTCATGGATAGTTTTTTTGTTTTAGTGTTTTTCCTTGCCACCACCATTGTTTTCTTTTTGTTGCTGTTTTTGCTCGTGGTCCCTTCCTGTTGTTCAGAGTGCAAAGTGTGACTGTAATACGTTAAGTAAAAGAAAAACGAAAGGTAAGGTTTGTTAGCAATTTAAAGTGCCCGGTTTATAGGGACGGAGAAGCTCCTGGGGGGGAAAAAAAAGAGACAGGACGAAGCATATATTCACATAAGGAAAAACATGGGAAACTTACAAGCTAAGCCTAAGGTACAAAAGGCTCTGATTCAGTTGCTGAAAACCTGTGGAATAAAATTAAAGGACTCCACAGTGGAAACATTCCTTGAGGCAGTCAGGGAAGTGGCTCCTTGGTTTGTAGAGGAGGGCTACGTTAACAAGGAGTCATGGGAAAAA